TGGGGACTGTTGCTGTGTGCTTGATTTTAGCATCTGTGGGCCACAGTTCCTCCTGGGTTGTGGTGCCTGTCAGTGATAGATTTACTTTGTCAAAAGCTCTCTAGAAGTACAACAACCATCGTATTATCCTGCTCTTATATCACCTCAGAGCAAATTAAATTTGAGACCTTCAGGACTGTTCAGCAGCTGAATCTTGTGCCCCATTTTCTGCAAGACAAGCCTTGAAATTGGCTGGCTGATGTCTCATTTCAGGAGGATTGATACCAGCGCTGCTTCCCTTGGAAATACAAGAGCGCGTTGCTGGTACCGGGAGTTTTACTCACTTCAGTTCAAGTTCGTGTTGTTTCTCTTGCCTGGAGCTTCTACTTACACAAACCAGAAAATATCCAAAGCTGCATGAAATGTTTCTGTGAGCACTGGAATTTCTGAAGTCTTATCTCCAGCATTTGTCGTGCTCAGCTGCCTGTGATCTGAGGGTTTTTCCTGGGATTGAGGCATCCATTAACTCTTCCTCCCAAATGGATTTGCTGGGATAGATGATCCAAGTGGTTCCAACCCCCTCTCAGTGCCAGCAGGAATTCTGGAACTTTCTTTTCTATCCAGCCACCTGTTTTCCCCCAAACTGTAGCAATTTAGGCTTGGATATCACTTGAGGCAAGAGCTGATACCCAGCAAATCCTCAAGTCAAAACAGGAGGAACTTAATGGAGCTGGGTTAAAAGAAGAAGTTTGTGGGTGGGATCTAAAAACTTCTTTACAGAAGGGGGGGAAAAACCACAATTAAACATGGGAGAGTTAGAATGGGAGTGTTGTTTTTTATATCTCTCATATACCCAAAGTTTTCCATGGTTCCAAAGGAAGATTAAGACTTAAGGATTTTCAACAAGCCAACAAGCAGCCTGTACCCATTCACCTGAGGACTTGGAAAATGCCTCTGGATAATTGTAAAAACAGCATTCCCTTAGTGAGGATAAGTAAAATAAAGGGGGAAAAATAAGCCAAAAGACTGGATTTCTTTTTTATTTTTTTTGTAATGGTTAAGAGAAGGAGAACATCCTCTCTTAGAGCATTTTACCTGCCTGTGAAGAGCAACGCCTCACACCTGCTCTGCTTTCCTTCAGGGACTGAATTACCAGAGCTTCTGTGGCTTTGACACTGGAAAAGCAGCAGTATTTTTCCACTTAACTTAATTTTAGCTATTATTTTTCTGCAGCAGCAGAACACAGTGCAACGTGGGAAATGTCAGGAGGCAAAAAACAATAAGGAGACATTTGAATCATATCTCTGCCTTGGTTCCCAGCATTGAGCCAGGCAACTTCTTCTCATGCCCCAGGAGTTTCTTCTTATTCATAGAAACAAAAAGAATTGATGGCAGCTATGTGCTGGAAAGAGAGATCGTTGCTGTGCAGAAAATCCAAAAAAAAACCATAATCCAGCTTTAGTTACACTTATTTAATGGTAAATAGGAATAACAAGGTCACCCAGATGTGTGAATAATCCTAGAGCCAAATCCTGATGTTTCAGCACACTTGTACTCAATTCTTTACTCAGGCAGTTTGGCAAAGCTTGGTAAAGCTTCATAAGAAAACCAGAATTATTTGGAAGAAGAGAGTGGCTGGAACCTGATTCATTTGCCCATGCACCAATTTCAGCTGATGTGGGGGTGACCAGCTCTGTAAGAAGGGTAAAATAGATTTTATTAAACTGACTGAGAGATGCCAACAGGATTAGGCTCACTTTCTACAGGCAGAACTGCTCCTACAGCTTAGATGGAAATTCTGGCCTTCACTCTGCTCCCATCTACACTGCTGGAAGTCAAAAGGGATTTCTTTATACCAATATGAAGGCATTACACACAAGGCAATTACACCTGTAAGAAGGTGGTGTGGGCTGAACCCTTTGGTCTGACATTTTCACTAATGTTTGAAATGAAATAATGAAGTACTTGTGGTATTTTTTTTCAAATGTTAAAGCTGTGGTGGAGAGACCCCATGAGTACATCAGCTCTACATCTCTTAGGTTTAGGAATTCCCAAGAATTCCCAGGAAACACTTAGAAAATATCAGGGGATAAAATGTAGAAAGGGATTGCAGGTAAAATTACCTCAGGAGAGGAGGGAAGCAATCCCTTAGTGTCACACAAGTCACATGGGGAACGGAACTCTGGCCAGTGGAGTTTGCAAAACACTTCCCTTGATGTCTCAGGTTTTAGCTTTTCTTTAGCTTTTCTATTTTCACATTCTGAGCTGCTTTAGTGTGTGGGTCTGAGCTTCATATTATGGGATGGTGAGCTCTGTGCACAGAGCAGGGAGACAAAACAATTCCTGCTCCAGCTGGGCACCAAGGCCAGCCTCTGTTCTAGCTCAGCCTTCACAAGGCTTCCCCCAAAGGAATAAACCATATTTCCCAAAGAACTGCTCTGCCTGTGCCTCTTCAGAATTCTCCTTGGCAGAACTCTGCACTATGTGGAAACTGGCCCAGTTGATGAAGAATAGCTCAGTACAAGCTCACCCCTCCTTTCCTTTTTTACTATTGAAGGGAGGATGGGTAGGAAAGATGAGTGAAACCATCTGTGATTCCCAGTCCCTTCTGAATGGTGGACCCTTTACTGAGCCAACCTGATCTCTATTGGCAAGTTGTGACAAGGATTCATTCATCATCATGAGATTTTGTTTGTCAGTTTGGACTTTCTTTGGTTTGAATAATTCAGGAACCACCCATTTTACCAGATACACCTCAGAGCACTAAAATACTATGTGAAAGAAATGTGAAAAAGAAAAAAAAAATCTTTCCCCTGTTCTCCCTTCCATAATTTTTCAGATTGAGACCTTTCATTGTAAATTGTGTAAGGAAAAATGATGTTCTCAAGACCCTTCAGCCTAATTTTATCGTATATTATTAATCAAGAGAGATCTCAGCCTTCATGTGCTGCATCAGCCAGGCCTCTGTGGATTTCTCCCCTTTCATGTAAAGAAAACATAAATTCCCACCTGTGGCTTTGCTTGGGTGAGGAGTGAAGGGAAAGGGCTGGTCAATGAAACCAGGCAGTGGTTTAGCAATTAGAGCCCAGGATTGAAAGGCAGCCAGGTGACAGTTCTGGGGCAGATTTGCTGCTGTTTGTCCTGATGAAGTTCCTCCTAAATGAGGTGATTATTGCAGCTGTCAGGAATGAAAAGGTGGGACCCATCGATTTCACCCCCTCTGCAGGCTCCAGGCCCTGCTGGTCCAGAGCAGTCAGTGGGAATTGCCAATTAACAAAAACAATATTGGCAAGTCGGCACTTTGAGGAATCAGCCAGTGCACAAATCTCTTGCCATTCAAATCACCGTCCTTGGGCAAAACCTGCTCAGAAAAACAAGGAAAATGAGATTTTTATTTTGGCATCTCTGCATAGGAAATTGTGGAGCTGAGAGCTCGTCTGCACAGGGGAAATGTAGCAGAACAGCTACACGGGAGCACACTGAAGTGCACACCCTACCTGGAGATAAAAATCACTTTCCTTTGGAGTAATTCTTCTGTTCTGAAAACACATTGCTTATTCAGGAATAAAGTATCTTTTATTTCAGAATTAAAGTGCCTGTGCTCTTACTCTGCCCTTCTGCTAATGGTCAGAGATACAGCTGTTGATTGTAATAAATAGAGGCTCTCCCACAACAGCTACAGTGGAATTCTTCCCCTTGTAAATAAGGAATTATCATTCTTCCAATTACCTCGTGTTTCAAATACAGCTCATATAAATGGGTACTCTTGACTCACCTACAGATTTCAGTAATTTCCATGCAATTAAATCGTTAAGGTGCAGCTTTGGGCAGTAAAAACACTTCTGGAAGAGCAGCGTGTTTGACATGATGGAGTGAGCGTGGGTTAGAAAACACCCAGCAGCTCCAAGTGAGGCAGATGATGGTTGTTCCTGCCTTTCCAAAGGAATTCTGCCTCTGCAACAACAGTGCTGGGATTTGCATGGTGTCTTTTAACACAAGCTCTCAAAGGATGTGACTGAAAAAGTGTCCTTATCCCTCACCTAGAAACAGGGAAAGTGAGGCAGCGCTCGGGAGAGGTTTGTTTGGTGAAAAACAAACTTTTGATTTCCAGCCCTGGACAGGGTGACATCCACCTTTCCTTTTTCCAAAGGTGATTCTGCTGCAAAGGATGGAGTGTGTCCATGGTAAAGCAAGGAGGTTGGTGTTCAGTCTCATGGAATCCCAGCATTGTAGAAACATGGAATATCCAGCGTTGGAAGAGACCCACACAGCGAGGGTTGGGTGTTGCAGCACTTTTGAGATTGTGAACAGATTCCAATCCATCACCTCCATCTGCTCCAAAAACACAATTCCTGTGCCAAACGCTCCAGTTTGCTTCCAGAGCTCACTTCAAGGACCACCTGGGCTGGCTCGTCTTTGGTCACCTCACTGCCTTTCCATGCAAGACTGGGGGAAATTATTCTTAATAACATTGTAGCTTAAAGACATTAAATTAAGGGAAGCGTCAGCAACTCTTGTGGGTGTATTTGTGATCAGACTCATTCAGGCTGTGACAAATGGTAATTATTTAGCATTACTAATTAATACAACACGTTAATTTAAATACTTAACGCACTTTACCCACTTTTAACTCTATAAACAATTAAATCCCTTACTGTTCAAACAACCCTGATATGTGAGTGCTCTGAGGGGATGCTTTGGTCCCTCATACCTCCACCGTTTCCTGCCGCTCCCAGAGTGAATGACAGCTTTTGGGCACAGGTGTCTTTGCAGGTATATTTGCCAGGTCGATAATTTTTTAACCTTTTACTAATTTTTAACCACCTGTCGAAGGTTCGCATGGGAATCCATCGTCGCTGCCACAAAAACTACAACTCCCAGAAGGCCCCGCGGCGTAGCACCCCGCCTTGATGTCGCGTGCCCCGCCCTTCTCGTCTTCTATTGGGTAGCATCCCACCCTCCTCGCCTATGATTGGCTGCGGCGCGCCAGCACGTGTGTATGCGCCGTGTTTGGGGGGGCGCAAGATGGCGGCGGGCGACGCTGTTGGGAGGTACCGCAGCACTGTGGGCAGGAGCAAGGACCCCTCGGGGCTGCTCATCTCGGTTATCAGGTAGGGGCGGCCCCGCTCCGCATCCTCCGCGCCTCTGAGGGTGCTCCAGGGCCGGGTGCGGGCCATGCTGTGCTGGGGAGGCCTGCCCGGCTCGGGCTTCCGGGATGTGGGGTCCGTCCTGGGCATGGGATGACCCCAGGCTTGGTTCGCTGCTGGCCCTGGAGCGCTGGGGAGGCTGCAGTGCTGGAGAAAGCCTTGTCCTGAGGGCTGTCCCGCTGTCCTGCCGCCCTGCCCGGCGCTCTTCCTCCTGCTCCCAGTGCTTTGCCTCATCCTGGGGTCAGAGGAGCTGGGACCAGCGGGGTGAGGTTCAGCAGGGCCAAGTGCCGGGTCCTGTGTTCTGGCCACAATAACCTCGGGTACTGCTCCAGCCCGGGGCCGAGGGCCGGGAGTTTGTGCAGCAGGACAGGACCTGGGGGTGCTGCTTGACAGCGGCTGCCCTGGTGGACAAGAAGAGCGATGGCACCTGGTCTGTGTCTAAAATAGAGTGGCCACAGGACCAGAGAAGTTATTTTCCCTTGTTCTGGGCACTGATGCGGTCGCACCTCAGGTGCTGCGTCCTGTTCTGGGCTCCTCAACTCCGAGGACATTGAGGGGCTGGAGAGGGTCCAGGGAATGGAGCTGGGAAGGGTCTGGAGAACCAGGAGCAGCTGAGGCAGCTGGAGCAAAGGAGGCTCAGGGGGGACCTTGTGGCTCTGCACAAGTCCCTGCCAGGAGGGGACAGCCGGGGGGGTCGGGCTGTGCTCCAGGGAACAGGGACAGGAGGAGAGGGAACGGCCTCAGCCTGGGCCAGGGGAGGGGCTGGGGGGGATTTTAGGGAGAATTTCTATATAAGAAAGGTCTTCAAACACTGTGGGGACTCCATCACTCCAGGGGCAGTGGTGGACCCTCGTCCCTGGAGGTCTTGAAGAAAACACGGGATGTGACACTCAGTGCGCTGGTGCGGGTGACAAGGTGGGATTCTGTCACAGATCTCAATGGTCTTGGAGATCTTTTCTAAATTCAGTGATGCTGTGAGTAAACTCTGCAGGTAGTACCAGCTTAATGCCATTCATGAAGGCCAAGGCACTGTCATGTTGTTGCTGTGGGGTCCATAAGTGACCCCCACCTTCAAACTGAGTAAAATTCATGTGGCTGGAAATCTGGAGAACCACGAAGTCCAGTGGGTGGACTCCATCCTGCGTGGGACTGCCAGAGTGGGCAAAGTGATGCTGCTTCCAAGTCTGTCTTGTTGGCATTGAAAAGAAAGAGTTGTGTCCAGTCATGTTTAGCCATTGGTTTTTTGTCTGCCCACATTCCTGAGCTTGGCTCTGCTGGAGGATGGTTCTGTGATAGACTTGGGTGTGAATTCACTGTTCCCCCCCAGTACTTTCTTTAGCTCCTTGTAAATCTTTTCTGTGCTGCTTATAACCAGTGGATTGGCAGCTGATTGCCCACACTGAAGGTTTTTAATGTTCTTACATGTTTTTCATGTTCTCACACAGTGGGTGTGGGCAGCTGCAGTCACACCAGCAGGATGCTGGCAGTTGTAATGTGCTCCCAAACTTTGGATCCTGCTCCAGTGTCTTGGACAACAGTTTCTGTCCTTCTGTTTTCGGAAAAGTTATTGTGGCACTAGTTCTGTATCTAGGAAAGGTTATGATTTAAATATCCTCTGTGAAGGATAATGTTTAGGACAAAATTCCGTTCTTTTTCATTGCTCTGGTATTTGAAATCTTGCAGAACTTGAGGGAGATGTTAGTTCTGTTAAAAAAAAAGTAGCTGGTGCCACTGTCTGTGGAAGAATAATAAACATGCACTGGTTGTGCAGCATTTCCTGTTGTAATCATCTTTTTTCCATGATTTCTGTAATTTCCAAGAGTATTTTAAGATCTTCCTTTTGTACCTGTATTTTAATAAATCCAGGCTTATTAAATTTGTTTAAAACCAGAAGAGTGAGCTCACAGAGTTCTGTTCTCCGAATGAAATGTTTGTCTCAGAATCTTTGGCTTCCAGGCACTGATACCTTGGCTAGTTTAGGCCTGGTTTTTAGACACAACATTGAGTTATTGACTTTATGAAATTAAAGTTATTCAATAGAACAGCTTGATAACTAAACTTCCAGAATTTAATTAGAACTTGGTTTGGATGTAGAGATTCTCTGCACAGCTTGACGTCTCAGGTTGAGCCAGACCATGAAAACCTGAGGGTAGAACTGATTGCAGAGGAAGGAAAAAGTGTTGTGGTAATAATATTGATGTTTCTTAGGCTTAGCCAAGTGCAGAAAGCAAATGGTGTGAAAAGGAATTTAAATCACTTTGCTCCAGACGTTGTTTTTATGTAGGAGCTCAGGTGAGGATGCACTTGCCAAGCAACAGGTGAATTTTTTAGTGGTTTGTATAGTCATAAAATACCATTGCAGACAAATTTAAACTTGTGTGGCTTAAATGTAATTTTACTCAGCTTCAGAAAAATATTACAAATCTTAACAGCGAGCTGTTGGTTTGAAATGTGGCCGAGTTTCCTTTTGTTGATGGCTTTATTTCCAAAACATTTATGCATAGTAGAGGCTTCTGCCAATCCTTGTGGTTTTCCACTTGCATGTCCCTGTTTATGTAGGCTGTTTATTTCTCTCTTGTTGCTGTGTGAAAGGTCCATAAAGGCAACAGTGGATTAAAAACAGCAAAACTGACTGCATTTTCTGCTATAAACAAACAAAACCAGAGGAGCTGCTTCAAGTATTGATGTTTTACTTGGTTATAGCAAAGACAGGGCTGTTTTCCAAAAAGAAACATTGTTTAGGTCTTCAAAATCTCTTTGTGTTGTCTATGAAATGCTTTGAAGTGTGAAGCTGAAAGGCCTTTTGTAAATAGAAATTATTTTATTAATGAAGGGATAATTTCTGATATTTACTCAAGCTCAGCAGCTCTCACTCACAAGAGACTGAATAATTCCCTTTTCTGTGATCCCAGATTTAGAGATTCTTGTAGTTTTGTAACTAGACTTCCCAGGAGAAAGTGTGTCACTTCCAGGGAGAGAGTTTGGGACGGAATCCGTGACCAAGTTTAACTTGCCTAGCAGCACTAAAATCCAGTCAAAAATGGAATTTTATGGGGTCTAGTGCGGGAATTTTAAGTTATCCCTGCTCTCTGTGGCGCTGCTTTTCAGCAGCTCTGAATACAGAAAGCTCTGAGATGAAGGAAAGCCCAACAGGAAGAGAGTCCCGCTTGTGATTCCTTTCCTGTCCCTCTGAAGTGTCACTTTTTCCTGTTGTGTCAGGGAACATATTTGTTATTTGACAGTTGTTTCCTGTAGGAGGATCCCTGCACTCGTGGAATTCACCTTGGTTTTCTGGTTGTTGCCAAGAACAGAAACTAAAGGCAGCCTCAAGGATGGATTCATTTGGAGCTGTCAGGAGTGAGGGATGTGCAGCTGTCCCAGCACAGGACTGATCCATCCCAAAAGAGCCAGGAGCTCCCTAGGAATTCCCAAATTTAGGAAGGTGTAGTTCCACCCCCAACAGTGCTGGGGTCACACTGAGTTCTTGGCCAGTTCCTCTCTTGATTCTCCCAAAGGAGAAATAAAGCGATTGTCCCCAACACTAAATCTTTAGGAAATAGAGTGTGTGGGAAGCTTAATGAGTGTTTGCAAACTCTGCCCTTAAATTCCCACTTTGGCTGCAGCTCCAGGGAGCTTTCCTTCTTTTCCCTGTGCCTTTACAGCTATTGGAAGTATCTTCAATTTGTTCTTGTCCTCAAGAGTGCTGAGAAGAAATGAGCATTACTTGCTACAGGAAAACAATTCCTGGGATTGTGACTTCCAGAGTGGATGCTGGATGTCAGGGCTTTACAGCTTCTATCCCTGTGCTGCTGCACTTGTGCTCGTTCCTCAGCACACCCACCTCCAAAACCTGCTCATTCCTTCAAGGATGAGAAAGATCCCTCCTAGTTCCTTAAATAAAAGATACTTTGTAAGGTCAATATGCTGTCACAGAAATCTCCTGCTGATCCCAGAGGCTTTGGCAATGTCTTTTTAAAAACCATGCAGATAACAGAGCAAATTTGGCTCACCTGTGGAGGACAAGTCAGGGAATATTTTCTGTTATGACTCAGAGGACAAACACGTGTTTGTATATTGATTTTTCTTAACCTTTTGTTTTGTTGGTAGCTGGTTGAAGCAGCTTTTGTGTTCTGAAACAAGCAACCTGGCATTTAGCAAATGCTTTCTTCTTAAGACAGAGAGATCTTGTCAGATTTTTAATTGGTGAATGTGTCTGCTTTTTATTTATTGTTGGGCGTTTTTCTTCCCAATTAAAGGTTGCTATTTTTTAAAACTGGCCTTTAATAGCTTCTTTAATTGGGGGAAAACAAACTTCAGCAGTGACTCCATAAGACCTCAGTGAAATTTTTGTGCTGAGTTTTCACAGAAGCAGACGCACCCAACAGATCTCTACAGAAGTTGAGATTGCAGACAAAAAACCTGGACCATACTTTATTTTTCACCAGTAGGATTCTTTTTCTTTAATGCTTGTGGCCATTGTTTCATTATAAGTGAACTTGCTGAATGGATTTTTGCTAATGACCTGGCATTTGATCTTCTCTGTGTCTAAAACAGTAGAGCTGAGATGCCAGGTTGTGATGGAGAGTGAGGAACAGCAATGTGGAGCTGGAGCATTTGAGAAATAGCTGCTACAAGGAATAAACTCGAGTTATTCTGATCTGTAATGGTCTCTTAAAACGACTTTTATTGCAAATGGTGTTTTCCAGTGTTATAAAGGTAGCAGTTCTTCCATGAGAAAAGTACTTCAGAAATTCCCTGAAAATAAATTGTATATGGCAGAATGTGGTTGTAAACTATAAATTTTCTTGAAATGATCTCCAGACACTTGTATAAAATGTTTAGGTATTTTGCAAGTGTTGGGCTGTGGATTGATACAGACCCTTAGTTGCATTTAAAAATGAGTAAAGGAGCACATGTGAATAAACAGCCACATAGAAAAGGACAAGAGGTGTGACTGTGCCAAG